TTCATTTGAGCCTTGCATTACGAGAAAAACATGATACGGTTATTCTTCTGCGTGATAACGGTCGGCCTCATGTCGCAAAAGTCATAAAAATCAGTTGGAAAAGCTCAAGTGGGATATTTTACCGCACCCGCTGTATTTGCCGGACATTGCTCCTTCTGATTACTGGTTGTTCCGACGGATCCAGCACAATTTGGCAGGTCAATGGTTCACTTCTCTCGCAGAAATCGAAAATTGGGTCCTAACTTGGATCACCTCAAAAGATAAGACATTTTTTCGAGATGGATTTCGAAAATTGCCTGAGAGGTGAGAAAAAGTAGTAGCCAGCGATGACCAATACTTTGATTAATCTGTTCATTTATTTTGTTCTGAAATAAATGCATTTTTGACTGCAAAAAAACGGACCGAACTAATTTGTACTCCCAATATTTATCAATACTTGACAAGGAACTCCTGGATCAAGTATTGAGAGAAATTTGCCTTCGTCGAGGATATTTTATGATGGAACTAATTCGCATTTGCGTTACATGGATAGGAAAACCTCCCACTGTTAGACTGATAGCAAGGGGACTCTAACCCATGATCTGTTTACCACTGAGGATATTTTACGACAGCATTGTTGTTGGTGCGAGCCGGGTGCGGAATTCGTATCGACCAGCAATCGCTGGAATTCGAACCCGGTTCACCTCATTGGAAGCCGTACACTCTATCCTTTGAGCCACCACAGCTCTTTCATGGTTTTTGACCATTGAATCACTCTAAAAGCCCATATGATTGTGGATTGTCCCATTTCGTTTGCAGGAACAGGGGTCCACTGCCCATGCCCATCTATATCGTGTTTTAATTCCTAAAACAGCAATAAATGTAACTGCAAGGTTTCAAAAATGTATCATGAAAATATTTGAGTAATTGTGTAAACGTCAAAATTTCCTATTCATAACAAAAAATCGGAAACGTAACAGAAACCTTTTAAATCATCGCTAGAGTTTACGTTATGAAAGGTTTTTGAAATCTAACTAGTATCACCATTTAATACCGGAAAGCTTACCACTAAGTAACAGCCGCGTGTTTTAAATGTGTACGCGGAACGGTAGAATAGTCACGTGGGAATACAAAGAGATGAGTTCAAATATGTTAATCAATTAATGCGGATGATACTTAAAATTCCAAAATCCTCACAAAAATCTACATGCTCTGGAGAAACATAATTTTTTTTTTATAGATTTGAATATTCACTATCAAAATAGACGCCAATAAATTAGATTGCTTACGTTAAGTGTTTACGTTTAATGTACTGTTCGTGTTTCTATTGTTAACGTTTTAAATTATTGTGGCATACCAACTATTGTGTCATGCTAATAAATGCAAATAGTTACAAAACATGAATAGACATATTAGTTAAAATGTGTAATTGTGTATTAAATGGGCATTATTTATGTAACTCAAAAAATTCGGAAAATTTTTAATACAACTTAAAAGAAAACAACGTAGAAATTTTTTTTAAAAATTATAAACTAAATTGTGTATTTTTTATAATTGTTCCTTTTAAAATTATTGTAACTAAGTACTGAATTGATTTGAATAATAAGGTAAAGTTACATCATAATATGGCAAACGTGACATAAGGACGCACTGATGCATGACGTGACATGCGCACTGACTTGTGAGCTTATTTGATTAATGGACTTTCTTACTCCTATCAAAATATTCCATTTAAATACTATCATATCAACTACTTTATTGAAATTATTTGTTTAAACTATGCAAGAAAGAAAAAAAAACAAAGGAACTTTCAATATAAATCACTGGAATTGCAACTAATAAGTTTTAATGAAACTTGCGAAGTATTACTGACAGATTTAGTTTAATCAGATATAAATGTAGGCCTTTTTTCGAAATTTGTTAAAAATTCTAGAATTGAAGGCTGTATGGTAGGAGTTAATCAGATTTTAAGAACTTAATAATTGAAAATTTTGCTAAGTTACAGGAAAATGAAATTTTTACTGTTTCATTTGATGATTTATTTTGAATCATTAAGCACTTTTTATAATCCACAAAAATTAAAATTNAAAAAAAAAAAAAAAAAAAAAAAAAAAAAAAAAAAAAAAAAAAAAATACGTGTTGCATTATGATTAAAAAAAAGGCGTTACTATAATAGACTTCGTAAAAGTATGGCTTTCTTTTTAAATTCTTGCTAAACTTATTGAATACATAACTCGCCTTCTTTCTTCGAACCAGTAACACAATTCAAATCGACAATAATCGATACTGAATTTCTATTAGCTAGCATTTTGCTCTAATAATATTTTATACATCAGCTTAAATACTTTATATATTAGATCTAGTGGAAAATTCGAATGAAGAACTGAAGAATGAAGACTTTACAAATGACTTACAAGGCTTTCGAGTACCCAAAAATCCCCCCCACTTCTCATGTTTGAAAAAGATCATAACAGGAAATTTTTTTATGAAACAATTCAATGCCACCGATTATACCAGAACTTATTTCAGACCGAACCAAAAGTGAGTTATTACTCTTACTCAGAGCCGGATTATACCTTTCGTAGGCCCTAGGCACAGAGCTGGATTATACCTTTCGTAGGCCCTAGGCATAGCCGTTTTTGGGCCCTCCCTTCCTTCCCCCACTCCTCCCCTCTTTTCAAAATATATGCTGAAATTTTCTTGCATATTTTTTTTTTACACTTTTATTAATATGGATTTTAATTTACGAATTTGTTTATCGAACTTTATCTGCAATACCGACAAGTGTAATGCATAAAGTAAGAGAAAAAAGAAAGGTACTCCTAACTTTAAAGAGAAAAAAAAATGGTAGAAATATAACATTTAAAAGAATAAAAAATTTACAAGTTTAGACAAGAAAAACAAGTTTAAAAAATACAAAATTCTCATATTTATTTTTTAAAAATAATTACAATTCCTAAATTAACTTATATAAACAAAACCAATGATTAAATAACGCAATATATTTCATACCTAATTAAACGGGGGGGGGGGAAACAATAAAATAAAAGGAAAACTAATTAATCTAAATCAAAACACTTGAAAATTATCGAACCGAAAAGATAGTTAAAAAAGGCACTAGCATAAATATTAAAACCCGGAACAAGGCAAGATCAACGGAATTTTAAAAAATAAAAAAAAACCTAATGATAAAATTTATGAATAAAAAGAATTTATTGAGTGCGAAATTTATCGTGAAAAGAAAAAAAAAATCAAACGCAGTGGAATCAGAAAAACAAAACTGTTTTTCTGACTCCACTAACTGTTAAACTGTTTTTTTAATTTTTTTCTCCCAAGTTTTTCGTAGGCCCATAGGCACGTGCCTAATAGGTTAATCCGGCCCTGCTCTTACTTGAAGAAAGATTAAACAAAATCATTAGTAGGCCTGCCGAGATCTCTGAAACTTATGTCAGTGCAGTGTCAACAGGATATATCCCATATTAATTTACTCTCAAAACGATTGTAAAGGTCCCTTAAGATTGTGCCCCCTAGACGATCACAAGCGAAATTTAGCCTTTAAGGACCTCTGTGTTAAATTAAATATATACTACTTAATAATCTTAAAAAAACTACTGTTTATATTTTACTACCACTAAATACAAAAGAAAAATGTTTTCATACATTTTGTCTGGTCATGTCGTGCTCGTGACCCCTTTAATTTAAATGACGTAATTAAATGTATATAATTGTATGCTTTACGATCCCTGTCAGTATATGGTTAAGATCGTAGAGCTCCTAAATGACATTGATGATGGTAATCATTTTAAGAGAATCGTTATATGATTGCACTGCTAGGGGTTGATGTTCACAAATTGTGAAAGTCATGGAGTCGTTGACTTTGGCCACATACACAGTAAAAGTTTTGCTAAGTAAATAAACAAGTGTATTCCACTGGAGCTTATAGTATCGAAACTATTTTAATTTCAGCAACATCACTTAAAATTTATAACATTTTCGACGATTGTATATTTATTCAATTCACTCGCCATTTTGTAAAAAATTATCTTAACCCTCTCGAAGGCCGTGGGAAGTATACTTCCCACCACTTTTAATTTAGTTTTCCATTTGTCACATTTCTTGAACTTCACAATTCTTGAAGTGCGTTTGAATAAAATTGGCAGCCATTTGTTAGTTTACGTATAAAAGTTATAAAATAAATAATTCCTTTTGAAGTTTGTAGCATTTATAAAATTTATTTTATAAATAAAGAAAAATAAAAGTCAATAAGTTCCTATTAGGTCGTGTTAAATATATTTACCTCCAAAAAAATGGCATTTTTATAAACTAAATGAGTTTTTTCTTTCTTATGTCAATTACTATTCTTAAAACAATTTCAATTCCAAAAATACTTCAATTTACCTTTACTAGAAATAAATGGCCCTTTAAAGGGTTAACTCTAAATCTGTTAGTTACCCCGAATATTGGATATACTAATGAAAAGTAACGCCTACTTTTTGTCCAAAGCTTTTTCCAATTGTGAGCAGCATAATTATGATTCGATTAATACTGTGCTTGAAACGATCAGAATTTCGTTTTTCTACAAAACAAAATTCAAAGGGTAAAAATTGTTACCATTTTAAAAATTGCTAACGTTCTATTTCTTGTAACTTCCAACAAGGGCATTAAGAAGATATAATAGAATCATAAGGATGGCAACACCAACATCATCAATCGGTCTATTTTAAGGGTCAGGATAGCTAATTCTAAAGGAAACTGGTAATCTTAGTGATTTAGAGTCTATGTGACTATTAGTTAGTTGAAGTAAGTTTCTGTGTGAAACATCGAACCTGAGTAGTTCAATCCGGTGTGGCTAAGAGTCTGTGACTTTGTTATTATTAAAGATGTATATAGTAATTATTATTGGTGTTGATCATATGTTTAGTTGAGTGAATTAATGGTAACCAATATCATTACATATTTTATTTNAAATATAAATACTAAGAGAGAGAGATGTAATTAAGAAAGCACTCATAACCACATTGTACTAACAAACTAAATAATAACTTTATTTTAATTGATCTTACAATAAAAAAATATACGTAACAATGAGTTATAAATTTAAATCTCATAATTGAAGAAACTATTGTTTCATAGAATTTAATTCTCCTCTGTCGCAACAAGTCTCGAATGCCTCCTAGGCATAAAAAGTTACAAATATGAACACGCACTGGCACATCAAACCAGATTCTATCACACTTCTACTTATTAAACTATCAAAAAAATTATCGGAAGCCTGATCTTGCACGAATCGAAAATTCAATGAGGTGCATTGAAACAAACCAATCAGCGGTACACCAGGAAAAACTGTTTTAAACACCTCACACACTGTATGACAGTTAGAATGTTCAATTGAAAACATAAACGTTATTGTGTAATCTGTAAATCCCTTCTTTTTGTTCATTTTCTGCTTCCAATGCTCCATCGTGTAACTAAGATGTATATCGTGTTTTCCAATAGCGAAACGGAAAACTTGCACGTTTGGCCCCTCAAACACCGGGATATAGTTACTAGCCATCGGTACAGGCATTATAATTCCAGATGCAAATGCATCGTACTTGTGTCTTAACTCGTTCAAAGCAATCTGGAAGTATGGCATGCAGGTGAACTCCACAAGATTAAGAGTACCTTTGATGTTATGCCCATTCTTGATTATGTGCTTCAGTATTGGGCCGACGCTTTCTTTCCTTTTATAAAACTTCAATTCTCCATCTGGGAAATTAGGGAATAGGTAACCACAGATCGCTGGAGTATTCGTTGTGACTAAACTGGACTGTGAATCTCCCCCGTAAAATGCCAGATTGATTTGCAAGTACAGGCTGATGCAGCAGGTTGGCGGCAGATGTTTCCGCAAAGCGATTTTGACAGCTGAAAATTTTAAAACAATATTCAGTTCCATAATATGAATAGATAATTTACGAAGGTGAATAAAATATAGACAAGGTTTTATTTATTTACTTTTCCCCTGCTGATTTTCCGGAGGAAGTGTATTCACGATTGCAAAGATCGAATACGCCATCTGAGGAGGTACTTAGATCCATGTCCCGACCCTCCCTCTTTCCCCTCATCAGTTGTATAGGAATGTGCAACGATATTTTTACTTTTCTTAATATTTTTCGTATTTAATTGACACAAATTTTTTTTAAATTCCTGAACTTTCTTTTTAGAACTATGTTCAATGTAGTTTTCAGTTCCTTATAGTTTCCTCACTTAAAAGTTTTTAATCTATTTGAAAATCAAGAGAAAAACTGCCGTACTTCCTTCTCCCATGACTCTCCATACGCCAATGATGAAAGCATGCGAAGTGTTGCCATAGGTAGAGAGTTCCGCTGTACGCCCTCTATAGCTCATTTCGATCGCCAATGGATCTGAGGAGAGAGATTTTCAGGTACCATGTAAAGCTAAGCGCAGATGGCGCTGGGGATCAAAATTCGCCCTAAGGCTACCTGGTTACTATTTCTGACTGATTTTTACGTTTAAGCTTGAAAAAACATGCCATCCAATTTCCTCATGCTTGTGGCGCTTTCCAATACTACGCGTTTTTTCAACTTAACTCTCGTTCTCAACTCTCAACGAAACAAACAACAAATGAAATCGTAAGACTCCGCTAGCTTGCTATGATACTACCAAAATATAACAAGCGGCTTTAATTTTGCACAAATGTAGCCGATTAAGGAATAACACTCAAAACATAACCTTACACTTCATTTATGCTTTTGTTAAATTTGTTTTAGGTTCGCGACCTGTTAGAATTGATAAATTACAGAAAACTCTTTTAAATGGTAAAATTACGCATAAATTTAAACGCAAATCACAATTATAAAACTTCTTAGAATATTAAGGCTTTTCCCACATCACCTAGGAAGCATAACATAAGCGGATGAATACGCCGGAAGTTCCTAAATTTCTTCCGGTTCTAAGAAATTGGTCATTGTTTACATTTAGTTAACCATCAGTACTTTCAAAAATAAATGTGTAGAAAATCCTTGTTTTATCTAATCTTTTTAGTACGATCGTCATCATGATTGAGAAATAAACAAAACTTCCTTAGAGCAAACTGATAAAATTTCCCTGACAGTCATCAAATTTTTAGAATTTTACTTCAAGTTATTAGTTTCTATTTTGTTTTACATCCGGTTTTTAACTATAAGCCATTTTTGGATTTACTACTATTAGACAGAAACGGAAACACTTTCCTAGGCCCACACGCTGCGAGTTTATACGTACAAGAGTACTTATATGTACTAATACAAGAGACTACAGACATGGGATCACGTTAGTACAATTCTGGGATTCAAACTTTTTAGTCTTTCTTTGAGCCTAGATTGGCATCCTATCAAAGTCACCGTGGCAATATAAAAAATCAGAACACAGACCCAGAGCAGTACTTCCGTCAAAATATATGCATTCCCTTTTTAGATTATTTTGCTGCCCAACTGATTGAAAGATTTTCGAAGCACGAAGATACTCTTGCAACTCTCAATAAAGTGTTACCTAAGTATTGTGTGAACGTTGATATTAATTTATGCCATTTCCGAATCTACGCAAATTTCATTGACATCGAAAACCTCGTGGGAGAAATGGAAGTATGGGCATCAAAGTGGAACCTACGTGAACCCCTAAGTAGACCATTTACGGCACTTTCAGCAATGGAAGAATGTGACAGTATTTTTTTCCCAAACATTTATTGCTTGTTATCAATATTGGCTACGTTGCCAATCACCACAGCAACTGCAGAAAGAACTTTTTCTACTCTTAAACGCGTAAAAACAGTAACAAGAAATGCTACTAAAGAAGAGAGGCTAACAGGGCTAACTTTATTAAGCATATTTCGGGATATTCCGGTTTGTCCTAAAAAAGTAATCGAAAAATTTTTTTCAAATCCCCGTCGCATGTCTTTGTAAACTTTGTTTACAAATTTATTATAATTACTATGTAATATTAATTGAAAAATAATTATTATGCAATATTTTTTAATTACTAGTTTAACTTTTGCAAACAACAGAATAAACAATATTTGTTACAATGTTTTC